GAAAAGCTATTTAAACTGTGTTAAATAATCTTCTATTGCAAAGAGCACTACTTTTTTTAATCATAAATCTTAATTATGACTACAACAGGCGAGTGCAATTTTGAAATGAATTTTAAGCAAGTGTTAGGAAAGAAAATAAATTTTATTTAATTTGTGATATATTCGCTTGTATCTCGATACTGACATTCATGCCGTAGGCTAATTGGAAAGGTTTACAATGTTTTCTAGTCAGCCTTTTTATGTTAATCAGGAAATGTGTGAATAAATACCTAGGCTCATTATAATAAATCTTTAAAATTGTTATTTACTACAAGCCTTCATTAATCTGGATTTATTGCAAACTATCTAAAATAAATCAGGCTAATTGTGCAATGAATGATATATTTTCTAATTAGCCCAAAGGCATCTATCAGAAAATCCTGAAAAATTTTCAAATTAGCCTGACGCAGATGAATCAGCACGGTATCCGACTTTTATATGATGAAAATATAAATGTACATGTTAAATAACAATAAGAACAACAGGTGAGAAAAGACAAATATTTATTCAATGAGTGTGTAATTTTCAAAATGTACACATACTTGGATGTGAAACTACATGGCACAGTAGTACAACATTACGCACAATTCAATATCGTTAAAAATTTCACAGATGTATATGGATGGAAGTTCTTGAAGTTATAACAACTTTTAACAAGACTTAGTGGTTAAATTTAATTTTATTAATACAATAAATCAAATTTAACAAAAAAATATAATAAATAAATATTCTTTCATACTTTCTGGACAGTATATGTGATTTATTATGGGTTAAGAGGATTTAAATTTCTCGCATAGCTGCCAACATGCAAAGGAAAAAATATATTATGAAATATATAATTTTTTTTGATAATATGTTAAATATTTTAGACATTTGAAGGACTACAATAGTCAGCAAAATTTAAAAACTGTATTCCAGGAAAAGCTAAATTTAAAATTTCATGGAAATATTTTTAATTTATGGTTGCCGTTAAATGAAAATGAACAAAAAAAAAGTTTTTATTATTTTTTATATATATTTTTGAATGTATAGTTTTGAATAATAATAAATAGTACTCATTATAGACATAAGATGTTTTTAAAATTAATTTAAAATTAAAAAAAAAACTTGAAATTTAAGAACATTGAGAAAATAAATAAATAAATAAAAAAACTTCTATTATTTGCTATAAACGAGGCATGCTTTATTCTTTTTCCAATAAAATTCTTTAAATACTCGAGTAAGCAACAAACTAAAAAAAAAAAAAAAAAAAAATCTGCTTTGATACAGACTTTTTTCAGAGACTTTCCCTATTTCAGGAATTTTTCTGAAATATATAAAAACAAGAATTTTTGAAGAGTTGAAAGTGGCAAATCAGTTGTCTACAAGAAAATCTATTTGAGTTGGCAGCGTTGCAAGAAAAGTTTGCAAACGAGTCCATAATAACACCGAATGGACATCTTGAGTAATGAATTTTAATTAAGTGTAACTTATAGTTTCAACATATTTGTTCGCATTAAATGAAGAGTAGGTTGAACATTAAATAACATCAAAAGCAATAACACACGCAGAACAATTAATTTGATGAAAGTAAGCTTGCCATGAGATTAATACGAAATACGCTTTCAAACATAATATCCTTCAAGGAAAATTTGACTAGAATAGTTTCCATAATGGTGGGAAAGGTTCAATGTGTACTCTTCTACAACTAGCAATGAAAAGGGAGGAAAAAAAAACTATAATATACAATGAAATAATAAATCTAAAGCAGCACAAAACCATAAGCTCGTTCAGAGTGACACATAGACGTTTTAAAATGTTTGTGATTTTGGTCCTTCTAATTTTTCATTTTAATGGCAAATATTTGATAGAAAATATAAATATATATATATGAAGATGGCAAAATATTCACATAAGTAAATGCATGAAGAAGGTATGTATGGGTCAATTTTAAAATAAAGTGACTCGCCAAAAGTTTGAGTTATTAAGAAATTGAGGTATTATGAGCCAGTTCTGCGTTAAGGCACTGCGTGTGTCGTTATGGAACGGACTGTCAACTTACTCTGAGTGGAAAATACTAGTAATAAAACAAATTAATTTCCGGCTAGTTTTAGTTTGTGATACTTTCTGACTATCACGAATTTTTAATAGCTTCAACATAGTTTAACGAATATGAAATATGCTATAAGGATAGTAATAATTATAAAAAAAATGGTAGCCATTGCTAATTTACTTCTCCCCTTAAAATAAAAATAAAAAGTTTTCTTACCAGTTTTTTTAATTTTATTTCCGGATTACAGATCTGATAAACGTTTTTGATTAAAGGGAATGGTTTTTAAGAGAAAAAAGCATAGGCTTAAAAAAAAAAAAAAAAAAAAAAAAAAAAAAAAAAAAAACACCTTAGAATGAAATAATTATTTCAGTTTAAGCAAATAATAATAATGAAAAAAACAATTGAAGAATTTTTTTTAAAAAACTTATTATTTTAAACTTTTGAAAATTCATCAGCGGCAAATGGAGACCCCTCAGAAAAAAAATAACCTTGCGGTGGTAAGAACAACAACGCGCGTAAAGGTCTGGTTTCTTAGGACAAGCGCCTTATCTGGGCGTCAGCGTGACGTCAACGTCCCGCTGACGCCAACAAAATACTGGTTTGTTAGCTCAAGGCCTGGTTTCTTAGAACTAGCGCCTTATCTGGGCGTCAGCGGAAAGTTGACGTAGAGCTGACGCCATAAAAATACTTTTTTGTTAGCTCAGCGTGAGCAGTTGGCCCAACGCAGACATTTTCTCTCATTGCTCATGCGTTAATAACGTAAACAAATATTTATTTTGAATTTGTATTGATTTTGTTATTGTCGACCAGTGTTTTAGAGAACAAATAATGACTTTGTCCAAGAAAAAACACATTGCAGCTGAGCTAAATGAAGAGTGCTATGTTTAATAAAGAAGCTATGTTTAATGTCAAAATCAAAATCTTGGCTGATTTCAATGCGCTGTTGGATGTTGTCCGCCATTGCTTCTGTGATTAACGTCACGTTGTAATCCAACTGCAGTTGAGGTGGACGGCAATTGTAGTTCAAGATGAGCGTTCGATGACGTATACTATCAAACTCACAAATGGACCAATCAGAGGTTAACGCTGATTTCCAGCTGACGGCATCCTGTCCTAAGAAACCAAGCCTTAAGCAAACTCAAACTTAGCCGACCTCTAACTGATAAAGTGCTATATTAAAAATGGAAATTCCAATAAGCATACGTAAAAAATTTGTCACCATTATCAAGTTTTTTATTAGCCACGGGAAACCCTAATGAAACTACTCAAATAATCTTATAATTTTTTTGGAAACAAAATCGTAATATGTACTATCAACATTAATTTTAACATATTAAGCATGAAGGCCTTAAAATTCAATTACCTCAAAATTTCTTCACCTAACATACATTCTTCATCCACCTACTCTTTAAGTTGTCTTTAGTAAGCAAATAAATTTCAATCTGTATCTACTATTTAACAAAATGATTTCCATGCATAGTATGATGTGGATAGAAAAAATCCTAACTCAGTAATGTGATATCTTCTATCAATGTGAAGTGCATTCACATGTTAAAAATGAAATAAAATTTTTTTTTAATCTACCAATCTATAAATTAATAGTTTTTTAATACTAATTTAAAAATTTCCTCCTTCAAATTACATTACTTTCAATGACGAAGCGGGTTACCAATTTGCATTCGTGCATGAAAGTTTAAAGTTTGCTGTGTAAAGAACTCCCCTCGCCATTTGGCGGAGAATTGGTGGATGGCTATGAAGTTTAACTAATTCATGTAGGAGTGTTGCGTCAATAAAGACGCTTTGGCTGGAGTCGTCGAAAGTAAGAGAATTTTTTTCTACGGCCTATTGCGATTACCACCTCTTTGAAATGCGCTATTTCTTGTTTCCATAGCAACAGACTGACTTCGGGGAGAGAAGTTTTTTATACAAACAGACTAAACTATTTCTATAGATTTAGTGAAGTAATCACATTACTGCATAGTGTTATAATTAAAATATTAAAAAAAAAAAAGAGTCCCCTTGCCGTCAGGCTAACAGCGGGGGTCTTCGCGGTTTTCTTCTCCATGCAACGCAAATGCAGGTTAGTTCCATCAAAAAGTACTCCACGAAGGCAAAATTTCTCCCACTACTTGATCCAAGAGTTCCCTTGTCTTTTGGATTGGTTTCAAAAATACAAGGCCACAGAATTGAATATTGGTAGTTGTAAACTCAGGCTGTTCAACGATGGTTATAAAATATAATCTTAAGAAAGGTAACAAGTAAAATGCACGAATTTATAACTATTTCTAAAAGATAATCATTATTTAAATAGTAACATATAATTTTTCGCAATTTAATCTATTCTTTTAATATAAAAAGCTCAGACCATTTTACTAATTTTGGTAAATAATTCAGTTTAGATTGATTGAAGTTTCTTTTACATGCTTAACACAATATAAATATCTTTATATTATAACCATACAAAATTATAGAAAAGCTTAATATTATGCTCCGTAAATCTATGTACACAAAACAAATTTACAAAAATATGTACAAAATATAAAATAAGTTCTATTTCGTCCATTGGACGGCATTTATCATTGAATAATACTTTGCATTTAATATTACTTGGTAAGCATCAATAAAAACTTATTTCAACTATTGTATTTGCCTCATAAAGTCAAATATAAATATATATTATTTTGAAAGCATTAGAAAGATTACAACCTTCATTTTTTGTTCTACGAAAACTATGAAATATGGTTAGGTGCATGCAGCTAACATAACTGCTGAATGCCAGTCTAGAAAAATAGCACTAATTATTTTTTACTAATTAACTACTATTTTGCAGAAAATAATAGCCTGAACTTAAAAACAGTATAAATAGCTTTTAAATACTATTAAACTTTTTGAAATCACCAGTTTTGTCAGGTTTTCCCACCTGAATGAATATCATTAAAATTATCAAATCATTAAAGCTTTCATGTTTACAAAACCATGGATTTTTCTTTATATTGATTTTTCGTTACATTTCGCGCCATTTTCATAATTAGTATAGAGGGCGCTGTCAAAGAATTGACGAAATCTAACCCAACAATCATTTCTAATTGTTGCCAATTCAGAATTGCTATAAAAATAATAAATTTATCGTTACAAAGCGTTATCTCATACCGCGATTCAAAAATTAAATTCAAAGTTAATGTTTAAGATTTTAAAACCTATTTCTTAACTGGTTATTAAAAACTTCTCAGTTTATTTCTTAAAAATTAGTTTTATTATATTTTCTACCTAATTTTGAATCAATGTTTGTTAGGATGATGAAGAATAACATTTCGAACATTAAACTATTTACAACCTATCCACCATCAGGACATAAAAATTTGACAACACCACATTTGACTAAATAGAATTCAAATGAATATTTTTTCTATACAAGGATGATCTAATATTTTGTAACAAAATACAATCATCAACCTGAGAATAATAATGAAATAATTAACAATATGACTTTTTGGCAGTCTAAAAATTAATTCTAACATAAATACACAGGGGCTACCTATATCTGTAGCAATCACTGTGCTACCAATATTTACATTTCTAAATTATTTACTTTGTTTCTATAATCCATTCAAATACCATTACTAACAAAAATAAACAAATACACATATGACAACATGAGAAGTCATTTGAAACTAATAAAAGCTGAGTTTTAGCGGTTTGCTTCATTTTTTGATTTAGTAACAATTAATTAGTTGTTAAATATTACTGAGATTTACAGTTTACACATACTTACGTTCTGTACAGAGCAGTTACTACTACACAAAACAACATATGTTCTATACAGTTGCAAAGAACATGTGTGCGTTGGTGCTACATTTTACCAACAAATGCTGCGGTTTTATTTTCTTAGCACGTGAAGCATACAAAACAGTTTAAAACGTGCAGTTTTCGACCATGTTACTTTAGCTGTTGTTTACTTATGTAATTTAAAATTACTAAAATGTAATCCGTACTGCAAATTTAGATTATTATTATTAATTCTACTCAAAAGCTTTTAATTATTGCAATCCTTAACGAGAGTATTGTTGCACTTTTTCTTAAATTTGCCACCATCACTAACTAATCATAAGTTTAAGTTAGTACAAAGCTAAAACAACGCGAGTAAAACATAAAAGGTGTCACAATAAATATTGTGGTTTGTTAATAATGAAACTTCTTTTGTGTCATAACATAGACAACAAACATTTCATCGATGTTTCATAACTTCTTCTTCACTGTGGAACTTAAACTATAGTATGAATAAAGTAAAGCAACATTAATAAAGCACAACTAAACTGTACCTACAATTTCTGTACCTTTATTCACGTTGCTTGAATTTATTCATACGCTTGGACAAATAGTATGCCTAGTTATAGTGACATTTGTGCTTTTTCACAACGGTTACTTTATGCATAAATTTTACCCTTTGATAACCATTTGTTGACTTTCGTTAATAATTGTTGTTTTGAATGGACTAAAGAAACTTATTTCCATCACTAAAGAATGTCCCATGACATCTTTTGGTTACCTAACCAAATGGTTTTGGAGAAGAACAAGAATAATTCCAATAATAATATGAAGGACAACGGAAGTCAGTGAAAGAGCTGCACTGCTTGCAAGACCACGTGGGATAACTGCAAGGCTGCCGTTGACAACAGATTGAGGACCAGCATCAAGCATGGCATCTCTGGCAGCAGCACTGAAGCTACCATCACCGGTTGTTAGAAGGTCAAATACACAAGCATCCAAATAAAAATCGGTAATGTTCAGAGCTCGACAAGCTGCGATAGCTTCTTGCTTCGGTCCGCTTTTAGGATCTAATATATTTTCGAAGTCAATTATTTCTCGTCGAGGGCAACCCTTTACACAAAGTTCCAAAGTCTCACCCTGAGCACCCTGCACTGCAACTGTGCTTGGCATTTTAGCTGCGAATGTTAGGTAGTTCCCAACTTGACGTATGACTATTTTTGTGGCAATATATCGCAGATGTATTTCTATGTGCTTTCCAGGAACTTCTTCTCGAATGCGTACTCCAGGGCCGCTCCATTTGGAACCATCGGGGAATACCCCAGGAAGATAATCACTCTGAGCTTCATAGGTTTTTTCCTGAGCACATGGACTATGCTGACGGATGATCACAGTAACCTAAAACGATACAACTAAAATTAGCACTATTTTCTAAATTAATTACCTGTTTAAGAATTCTTTACAAAGTACTACACTCAATATAAATTTTTAAAACACTTGTCAAAATTGAAGTAGAAAAAGTAGACACATTAGAGAACGTAAATTACTATTTATCGAGGAAAAGGTACTATCTGGTATTGACTTTAACGAATTACTACTGAAGAAGTTTCGAAACAGCCAAAACCCTTTAGATTGTTGGATGAAGCGAAAAACAGTTTAAAAACGATTAATAGAAGTATAGTTACTACTTTCATTTAACAATAGTTTGCTTTAACTGAAGAGATGTTTGAGTACTTTTTCTCAGACTCTGCACTGCTGTAATTAAAATTAATTAAACTAGCTTTATTTTGTAACTAGTTTTGGCACACCATTCTATGCCACGAGCTAGTACCTAGTATTTTAGCCTAGCTGCATCTTAACTTAAAATAACATGCACGTGTTTAACTTTTTTTGTCTTATTTTGCTATAATGGGGACCATATAGTGATCAATCAATGACAGTCAAGTAGAGAAAGCTTTTTCAGTGATTTGGCAAATCACTATAGAATATATGGCAAATTACTATAGAATATAGACCCCCGCTTAAACATTAATTTGCGATCTCTAATGTGCATACGTTTTTTACATCATTTTAGACATGGATTCTGAAAATACATATTAAGCGCCATGATTACGGATAAATAAATGTGAAATAAATGTAAATGAAACTGTATCATAATTAATGAACATTAATGCAGTAAATGGGATTAAGTAATAAAATAATTGTAGTGAAAATAATTTGGAAATAATAAAAAGTATCGATAATTAATTCGCGTGTATGGAAAAAATGATTAGAAAGTAGCGAGGGCTGTGAGTTCACAATTAGAAACAATTAATGTATATATTTTTTTTCTTATTTTAACAAGTTTTAACAAGAAATATCAACTAATAAGGTTAATAATATAATCTTTGCTTCAATAAAGACTTGAGTGAAAATATTTATTTCCTTTAAAAAAAAAAAAAAACTTTTCAATTTTATGGAATATTTTCGGAAGAAACTTAACCATTTTTTGATTTAACCTAAAGAATAATTATTATAGTTGTTCTTAATTATTTCTAATATTAAAATTTAGAACACTAAGATTATGCAAAAAAAATCTTCAAAATATAATAAAACACAAAACATTTACTCTATAATTTTTTGTGGTTTTGCCATTGTTTCACAAAAATCATTCATATGAAATCAGCGAATTTATCAATCTCATATAAATAATTATAACCTTGGTGTCACTGACAATGACCTCTCTCATCCAAGACTAATTTTCATTCACGCATGCGCGATATAAAACATACTTTTTCCGCCCATCGATCGACTGATGCCATCTTGGAATGAAATCAATACGAAAATTGTAAACGCGCGAATGAACGAGAGGTTTGAAGATAGACCGAGGATAACCTATTTTTTTCCCGTAAGGTCAAAATATTTTTGATAGAAAGAATAAAATCTTCTGATTACATCAGACCAGAGTATTTATTATTATTCACAACAGATGTGCACCTGGCATTTACGAGATGAAACCAAACGATAAATCATTCATTTTGTCTAGAAGGAAGTAATAATAATTTTCATAAAAAACGAAAATAAAACTACTTTAAAGATTTCTTTTTATTGCATAATTTATATAATTAACGACAATTTAGTAAACAATAGATAAATATGACTCTTAGAGATAACAACAAAACGAAAAGTTTTCTGAATTGAGTTTAGCGGTAGCAAATAGAAATTTTAAAAATCTACTTATTTGGAATGTTATGTTCTTATCAATCATCCGATAATACCTTATAAATCAGGTTTTTAAATAAAAAGGTTCCAGTCGAAGTTGCTTTAATCTAAGTACTAGATCGATAAATGGGAATTACAATCTGTTTTCATTATAATTCTGCTATAACTTGTCATATGAAATTAGCGGACATAAAAAAACAACGAACTTCCCTTTATATCTTCCATTTTGTATTTGAATTAACCAAACTAACATCTCGGCTATTTTGTTGATGCAGTGAATTAAAATTATTGATAGTATAAATTGTAAATATGAATTAATTTTAATTCATATTTACCTTGAAATATCAATAGGGAAAAAAAATGTGTTTTCGTACTCATTTCGTCCAAAGAATTGCTTCCGGTGTTTTTGTTTTTATCATTTTCTAACAAAGCATTTATCAAGGAAAATACGGATCCCCCTTTCCCCGAATTTCTTAATAAGAGCCAGAAATATACGACATGTTTAAAAACTAACCGAAATAAATACCAACCTGATTTAAACGTAACTAATTTTTTGTTAAGATGCATTATATTTTATCACAATATAAAAAGGTTGTGCAATTCTGATATAACGAATAACATATTTCAACGTTTATTCGTTTATTTAAAGAATGCTTGTCTTTTACTGCAGTAAAAAGATAGGATTTTTTATTATATTCTGATGCTTATAGAACTTCATTAAAGATGTCTTCGTTTTGTTACTTAAATGTAAAGAATTTCTAATTCCACTTGAAATAAGTCGAATTCATATTCGACTTACTATAAGAGTTCAGCAATCAGAGTATTTGTAGTAACGTAACTAGAAGGGGGCAAGAGGGGACGTGGAGCTGCCTTAGAGGTACGCCAAATTCACGAAAAATAATTAAAATCTAATTCCAGAGTAAAATACGTTTCACTTCTAAATATCTTCAGTTTTATTTGCTAATTGTGGATCCCGTAACTTAACTAAAATTTTTAATCGATTCACCTAAAACTTGAAGATGATGTCTATCAATAAAAATTATCTAAATCCTTAAATGTAAAGTTTCTTAGGCCCACTTATGCTTTGTTTATGAAATTACCAGACGAGGGATAAATAAAAAAAGAATGTTAAGTAGCTCCTGTTTAGGCATAAAAGTCGAAAGGGGGAAAAAAATTAATCACTATTATTTAAGAGATATACAAGCGAAAATCCTGGTGTTTTGAATCATTTTCCTGACAGGATGATAGTGACCTCCTATTCTGGTGTTTTCTCTCCGACACTTCACTTTTAATGTATATAAATATGAATCAAATTTTGAGTTAGATTAAATGTAAACTCCTTTCAAACCATTAGACTAGTTCTATATTCCAATATTTAATAGGATTTTTTTGTTGAAAACTCTGTTAGTTTACAGGCCATAATATTAATTACAAAAAAAAAGTGTGCTCAGAATTGTCTCTTTCACATTGAGGTAACAAGTGAAATTATGGTAGACAAAGAGATAAATTTGTTCAATGAAGAAACTAAAGACATTTGAAAACAAATATTTTTTTTTCAATCTAACAATAGTCTAACAATAGAGGGCGCTTCTGGATGATGTCCAAAGAAGAAGACGATGTTCATGTCAATGAGTCACAATTCGCTACGCTGTCTGCTTCAGACAGAGGAGAAAAATAAAAATTACTACGACTTTCCCATCTTTATTGAGTTTGATTAAATCTTAACAACACTAGATCCGACAAACACTTTAATGTAAATAAGGTTAATACTTGCAAACAGGATTGTTTTTACAAAAAATCCTGTTTTTATAAAAATTGGGAAAACTTATCTCGTAATATCGGGAATTTCTGGAAGGTTCTGTTTTTATTAATTCATGAAAAATATACTCATTTTTTGAATCGATATACTGTACAAGGGGGGTTTCTTGTCTACCGAGGTTCTGTTTTTGCAAACATGAGGAGAAAATATTCCTTTCGTGGGAAAAAAGAAAAAAAAACATTTTTTGCCAAGAAGTTTTAGTTTTAAAACAAAGAACCCATATTCTGAAAAGAAAAGTTCTCGAAGTTCCGTATTTTGAAAAGATAAAAAAGTTTTGCGAAGGGTCTGTTATCGTGTCATATTATTTTGTTTGGGTCCGTTAATACGATAAAATATTTTGAGCAAGACCGGTTTTAAAGATAAACTTTTTTTTTAATGAAAGGTGCACTTAACTCATTAACTATTTTTCGAAAAGTCAAAAGTAACGGACCCAAATTTCAAATAATATAATCCTTTACATCTATTACTGGTCTGGGGGACAACTAATGAAATAATTATTAGTTCCCCTCAGACGAATGGACAGGTAGGCTGTTTTGGGTTTTTGATTTTCAGTTTCTTGTTTTGTCACAGATTAGCATAGTTCATCATAATCATAAATGCTACACATTGTTAAAGCAATTTTTCTTTTAAATTCACTAAGCTAATAAAAAAAACATGTAAACAGATCAGCGGAAATGCATAAGGACTAGTAGAATCTTTTATTTACTGATCCTTTGGGCTCAATGTTTTTAATTTGTAACCCTGCAAAAAATGCTTCATTGAAATTCTATTAAATATCTGTAAGTTTGCTTTCTCATAGAAGAATATTATGTTTTTTTCTTATTTCTCTGAAATGAAGCTGGTTATTTATACGAAACGTGGCTTATCCCGTTAGTAAATAAGCATCATAAGTTATATCATAATTTCAATAATAAGTAGAATTATAAGTAGTTATAAGTATAATAAGTAATATAAGTATAATAAGTAATATAAGTATAATAAGTAGTTAGTATCATAATTTTTCTTTATTAATTTTGATCAACATAAGTGAAATAAATTATATTTAGCTTTGTAATAATTTATGGTCATGAAATACCTACAGCATAAAACATTCGCGTCTTTTTCTGCGTTAAATGTAAAATATTTCAAACAAAATTTTTTTAAATTTGCACTTATATACCGTTATTCAGATCTAAGAGAAACCAATTATTCATCATCAAAATTTCTTTAATTTACAAAATCAATTGTTGATAATTTTTAAATAAGATTTAAAAAAAAATATTTTTTCTAACTACTATTTTTGGATTTTATATTTCAATACAAATAAAATTCCAATAACCTAACAGATTTTTTAGTAGCTATTAAGACTGTTTTTAATTTTAAAAAAAAATAACATAGT